CTGACCTGCCTGCACGAACTCCATTTCTCTAACGAACTCTAGCAAAGGATTCAACTTTCTCATCCAACAAGAGACATTCCATTAAACTTAACGGTCTTTTATTGTTTGGCTAATGAAAGCCCACTAGACTAAAAGACAGACCCCAAAAAAGACCATAAAAGCCCATATTGATCTATATCTGAGAAGCTACAAGTGAAATTTATGATCTACCCCCAATGAATGAGCATTGACACAGGTATGTTCTTCTTTTTTTGGATTCCATGATTAGAATTCGCATTTTTTGGATGCCAAAAAGGTTTTAGACACCAGACACCTCTTAGACAGAGAAATCTACGACTAAAATTTGATAATCTCCTTGATTTTGCTAGGTTTTTGGATCATTGTTCTTCTTAGACAACTACATAGTAATTAGATTCCAATTTGGTCGTATTTCATTTGAATTCCCTATTTTAGGGCTTTTAGGGTTTAAGTGAATATCTTTCTTGTGTTTCTAGGACCTTTGGCAGATTTGGTTCCCTAAGGATCTGGAATGCTAGGTTTGGTAAACTGAATCATGTTGATTTGCCACCTTGACTGTTGTTGAAGGAATTTGGGTTTCCTTTTGGATTTTTAATTTGGTTGTCAGAACTAAGTGGGAACCATGACCAATGTAAGTAATATATGTATGGTTATATCATATATGTTAAATTGCAATTTTTTCCTTCCCTACTTGATCTCAATATCACCAATGCAGAACGAATGAAGCTAGTGGTTTTTTTCCCGGAGTTGACGGCACAGAAGAATTGAAGAGGAATGAGAGATATGGCTTCCTAAATTTTCATGTTTTCCCTTGAGATAAATTTAATGGTATTCATCAATTTTAATCAATCAAATAAAAATCAGTAATCTTGAAAAATTACTACAAATGGGTATGTATCCATCTTTCTGTCATGTGGTTGTTTTTTCCTCTCTTTTGCATGGGGGATGGTGGGTTTCTTTTAATTGAGAAAAGTTTATTGAAACTGCATTCTGATTACCCATTGAGTTGTCTAGAACAAATGAAGAGTATCAAGTTTGCCATTGATCTTTTATTTACTTATTTTTGGATTAAGCATCACTGGTTCTTTTTTTATCAATAACTCGAGCATTTTATTAATTAAAGTAGGAAGAAAATGTACCACCCATTAAATACAAACAAAGACTATGAGAGATAAAAACCTATTCTCTCTCCCCCAACAATCCAATTCCGTTACAATTACGCCCAGAACAGAGATTCCCTCCCCACCCCTACTTGGCTAAGGCATCTGCTACAGAATTAGCACTTCTCTCAACCCACCCAACATTTATATCCACTTCTCTCAACCCCGAATTAGAACTTTCTCTTATCATTGATTCTTTATATATTTCAGATTATTGTGTATAGCTTTACGACATATACTTTACCAGCAATGAAATTTGTATGTTTTACCTACTTCGACCAAGGGAACTTTTCTAGTTTTTGTTGGATGTGTTAATTTCTGATTTTTCCTTTGCTAGTGTTTTTTCCCATCCATGTTGGCACATTTTGGTCCTGGCAGTCCATATTCAATGAACATTTTATTTCTCAGTTGCTTACAATTTTCTTAAATGTTAGCTAATAAGTAGATGACTGATCTGTGTCCATATTCAACCAGCTATAACTGGTCAAAAAGGAAAGTTGAAGTGGTTCTGAAAGAACTATTAGCATGACATTTTGAATATTAGTAAATGAATTTTACTAGTCTAGTAACCTGAACTAGAAGTAACTTTTAAGTGGAATATGTAAGCATGTGGGCCAGTAGGTGAATTATTGATACCCACAATAATTCCATTGGATAGTTAGTTCCTTTTGGCTTCCATTGCTAATGGCTTTGGGGTGATGAAGAACGACTTATGGTAATATTTAGTTCAGTTGCAGATAGATTTGCAGGAAAATATATGGTAGTTTATTTAGAAGTGGCAATAGTAAATTTATTTTGTATGAAAGAATATGAATACAGGCTGAAGGTAGGCAAAAAGAGTGACATCTTCAGCTATGAAATTGAATTTGTGGAGTTGATTACCGGAAGAAAGCCATTGGACCCTGAGTTTGGAGAATTGTCTATGCACTACTATGTTCCCAAGGACATACCTTCCATGACAGATGCCATAACAATGATGGGGGAGGCAAAGTCATGGAGGAAAAGTAGCAGTAGCAATGGTGGCAACAATGCTATCAAAGAGCCTCACCTGTAACAAGGATTCTATAGGAACAAAGATGAGTTCCTTCAGGACAATTTGTTTTTTAAATTAATTCTTATTTTGTATTTTTTTCTTGTCAAATTCTGTATCATGGTCCAAGATGTTTCATGTTTAGAGAATGATGGATATATGGAAAAAGGGTTTTAATATTTTCCTGATTATCAATAAAATTCTACGTTTTATGGATTCTAGTTCTTAGAAATTAAAAGATAGAGTTGAGGCACAAATCAATTATTTTGCATAAGTGAATGAATGTATAAGTGAGACCCACAAGTGTTGTTTTGCACAAATAAAAGTGTATATAGGGTCCACAATTGTTAAATGTATGTTTGAATGTATCAATGGGTCCGGCACATGGCATTTCATAGGTGTTTTTCATTTAGATGTTCAACACTTGTTTGTTGTGCTATATATGCTTACCAAACAGTCTTTTGGTCTTTTTAGCTTTTGAGAAAATCTATGAAAAAAATTGTAACCAAACGGTCTTTGGTCTTTAAAGATCTATCCATAAAAGTTCATTAGTCTTTTAAGGTCTTGAGCTTTTGGAGGATCTTCATAAAAAGACTTGCCAAACGCCTCCTAAATCTTCCAACTGTATCCACCTAGTCCCATGTTCTTAAACTTGGCCCAGACCAGACAGTTGAATCAATTGATCTGCAACCAGTAGGAAAACCAGGTCTGGGATAGGATGGATTTCACATTTTTTTTCAGAAAACCTGTTAAATATTTATAGTTTAAATACATATGGAAATAGATCCCCTGACCAGGTCTCATGACCTGTCAAATTTCTGCCACGTCCAATCTGTACACCAAGTAGAGGACCCTCTGGATTGGCCACCTAATCAATACAGTCCATATCAGCCTTCCGTGGCTGTATTGTAGTTTTAGCTAGTGTTTTGTTTTGTACAAGTAACATTATCTATTGAAAGTTAAAAGTTCCTTCATCAGTGGAGGGGCAGGAATACAAGTTGAGGGAAATTGCCAAGTCATAAATTGATTGGAATCTGGGAAAGATGTTCTTTGGGCCCAGCAACTCTAGTCAGACATGCTAGAACTTTAGGGACCAACCTGAATTGCGCAATCAGGTGGTTTCTCAGATCAGAAAACAGTTTAGTAGACATTAGCTGGGGCAAGTCACAAGAGAGAATTTATGTTGGGGTGAATCAAGATTGAGGGAATCCACATGTAAAGAAAATAACGTAGGAAAAGAAGGGCATCATCAGCTTTATGCTGTTTTTGTTCCCTGTATGACAATATCTTGTACACCTAGAGATTCTCATCTTCCTAAATAAAATTACGAATTACTGTTGCTTATAAAAAATGTCCAATATGTTATACTAAACTTGTTAAAAAGGGGCACTCATTCAACTATTCTGACCACATTGCAAGGATTTTGGGGTTCAAATTGCCCCATTAATAGAGAACAATGAGAAGAGTGAATAGGGTCACTTTGGGCCTGAGCCAATTTGCCTAATGGAAGAATCCTTTGTCATTTGGTGTTGTTTGCTAAATGACCAGACTAGTAGTGGTCAATATTGTTGCACGGGTTGCCTTTTTCCATTGGTATATAATGCAAAAAAAATATGGATTAATTCAACAGTATATACTTTTCAATAGGCATGTCAGTGAGTCCATGTTTCTTGTTTTATTAAGTCAAACACTTGGATAAATGTTGAATTCTAACTCCTGTGTCTATTAAGTTCATGCAACATTGGTTGTTCCTATATGTGTTGGTGAGTGGGTGGGTGTCGAACACGTTCATATAATTTTACACTTATATCATAGAATAAATTTTATTTGTATATGCAATATGTTAGATTTTGTAATTTAAGATTTTTAAAATCTTTGAGAACTTATGAAATCCAGATTGGCTAGCTTTCAGACCGGTAGGTTGACCAACAACCAGTGGGGAAACCAGGTTAATGACTAGATTGAATTTCGGAACACTGCCTACTCCACAATGCTTATTAAGCCTGTCCCTGCTATGAATGATGTGATCCACATTTTGAAAGGGTTTTATATATCAAAAAATCTTCATGACATGGCGATGTATCGGGGCTCATCATGGTCCTAATAACAGGCTTAGCTATACTCCTCTTTCCTTTCAAACATTATAAGGTCCCAAATAATAAAATCTCTTTCAAAAAAATCCTTCACTATCCATGTGAGTATACTATGGAATGAACCATTTCCATTCAATAAGTTTGATAAAGTGATGCCATATTCACAACTCACAAGGAATATTGGCAATGGAGTAATAGGAGGGAAGCAGTAGTGGGCAATTAAAATTACCTAGTTTGGTCAAGATTTGCCAACACTAGTGGGTCCAAGTTGCTGAATTTTGACATGTCAATTGTGCATAGAATTTTGCCATTGGTAGTCCCTCAGTGATCTAATCATCAAACACTCAATCTACTGTTGAAATGGAAAAAGGAAATAAAAAACACTCAAGCATTTCAATGGATAAACATTATTGAAATCAACAGGATATACATACCAACTCCCATTTCCAAAAGTATTTCCTCTTGGACTGCAGTAGTTACAGCCACTGCTTCCTGCACAGAATATAATAAATTGGGGTAATCAACAGATACATGTAAAACCTCACTAAGAAACATAGTTGTCAAGGCGATGCCTAGGCAGGCGCCTAGGCGACAAGGTGCCCTTGGAGGCTTACCTCGCCCAGTCGCCTAGCAGTTTTGTATATTGTCTTATAAAATACTTTTATATTGTTACTTTTTTTAGATTATAATTATAAAATAGACACTATTAAACAAAAATATTCATTTTTTGTGTTTATAAACTAATTTCTTTTTATTATTTTCCTATTTGTTAGGGTTTAATCAACACTTCAGAATTTGACCCAATAAGTAAGGGAAAAACTTAAAGTTTTGTCTAATCAACACATTTCTTCCTCCACACTTCTTATTTTCTAGACATAAACATGAAGTTTATAATTTTCTTAGGAAAATTATGGATAGTTATTAAGGAAAGATGGTTATGGAACCTAGGATATGTATTTTTCACTTAAAAAAATCCATCGCCTAGGCGCCCCCCTGTCGCCTAGCCTCACCTTGGTGTCTTGAAAACTATGCTAAGAAAAATGTCACTTGGTGGAATTTTTTCTTAGTATTAGAACCAGAATTTGGTGTAATGGTAAAATCTAAGGTTAGATTTTTATCCAGTCCAAACTTCCCAAGACCCTGGATAGGGTCAACCCTTCTAATATCAGAATGAGAATTGCAAATCCAACAATAAATTACATTTACATCACCACTCACCATAATGTATTATATATAGAACATTTAACTAGCACTTTTTTAAGTACTTCCATAGGTATTTATGTCCATGATAAGAATTGTTCATTACTCGTCAAAATTCAAAAGAACTAGTATTCTTTAAGTTCCCTACATCATGATTCTGACAGCGACACATTTGACCTCGTTCACATACCAAAAGAAATGTAATACTCACAAGTTACAAAGCAACAAACTTCAAGACAAATCAGTGCATCCAGCAGAAAGCTGCCTACTGAATGTTTTCTTTCTTTCATTGTGGGATATCCGAAACCTCATTTGAACACCACACCTATTTAAACAGATACAGAAACAGGAAATAGCTTCCATCTTGATTTCCTTTCATCATCATTTTTACATTAAGCCATTTTAATAGTTCAAAATATACTCATTCTACTCAATCCCAAATCTCCAAAAAAAAAAGAAAAAAGAAGAAAAAACCTTCACATGAATCCTACTCTCCTACAACAATGTCAACAACGATAATCTCATGAATCCTACTCTCCTAGGATATTCTCAGGTGATTACAAAGGCAAAAAAGGATGTACGCCACCATTGTTTCAGGAGCTCGAAGAAAATCATAATTCTTCAGGTAAAAGGACATTGGCAAGCCTTTCTCGATTTTTATTAATTTTATTATTTTTTCTCCCTTACGAATGTGTGGTTAGAATTGCATGAATCCAAATTAGCAAGAATTCCTAGGGTGTGCATTGATTTCACAGTTTTAACTACCTAAAGCAGCGAACTGAATGAATTTGCCATTGAGAAAGGGGAATTTAAGCTAAGGTTCAAAAACCAAATTATAAACAAAATAGGACGTAATTAGAGAGAATTTACCTGTTTATCCTTCACAGCATCTGCAATTCGTCTCTTCACATCTAAATATTACAAGAAAACAAAACGAAGTGCGCATATTAATAGACGAAGAGAACAGAAAATCGCATTCGCCCGTCGCCTATCGGAGAACAGGTTGGGGGAAAAACGAAAGAATAGAAAATAGAGATACAAATACAAAAAGGAAAAAAGAGGGAATAAGTGACCTCACCGGGCTGGGAGGTCAGCTCAGAGAAACGGTCGAACAGATAAATTAACTGCTCCTTGGAGAGCATGCCCGATGTCTGAAGCTGAGGAGCAGCCGCAGCAGAACCAGACATCGTGACCGCGCGCAGGATAACGAGTCAAGTGCACCACCTCTTCCTCGCCTCCTCGGCTCGCCACTGAAGAGTCAAGAGATAAGTGGGCCGAGTCTAAACTTCGGGCCGCAGGCTGGACCATCGAACCCCATTTAACACCGGGAAAGAAAGTATTTAAGTATCATTTGCGCTCACCACTTATCTTTTAATCTGAGCCGTAGAAATATAATACCAATGCCATAAATCATAAGATCAAGAACTCACAACCACTTCGGATGACCTTGGAAATAATAACCATTAGATAAACAAACTGATCAAAAGGAAGTATTATGATACAGCAGAAACAACGAACTCATGTTAAAATTCTTAAAATTCATACATTGGGCTGCTAATAAACTAGAGAAAAAAATAACCAAATTATTTTCTAAAAAAGAAAAAAGAAACAAATTGTTAAGCCATAAAGAGTATTTATCATCAGAAATCTTCGTCCAATTTAAACACGTGCGTTCCACCGTTCCCATTCAAACTCGACATGACCGAAGCTTTCTGGTATTCTCCAACCCTTTTCTCGAAGAAATTGGTTTTCCCCTGCAACGAGATCAGCTCCATCCAATCAAACGGATTCTGAACGTTGTAGATCTTTCCATATCCCAAGGCACCGAGCAAACGATCGGCCACGAACTCGATATACTGGCTCATCAGATCACAGTTCATCCCCACCAACGCACACGGCAATGCGTCGCACACGAACTCCCTCTCGATGTCCACTGCGTCGGCAACAATTCCCTTGACTCGCTCCTCACTCAGTTTCTGCCTCAACAACTCGTAGAGCAGACACGCGAAATCGCAGTGTAGCCCCTCGTCTCTCGAGATCAACTCGTTTGAGAAAGTTAAGCCCGGCATCAGGCCGCGCTTCTTCAACCAGAATATCGCACAGAAGCTGCCGGAGAAGAATATCCCCTCGACGCAGGCGAATGCGATCAGGCGCTCCGCGAAGGATTCGGAACCGTCGATCCATTGGAGGGCCCACTCGGCTTTTTTCGCCACGCAGGGGACGGTCTCGATTGCGCGGAACAGGCGGCTCTTCTCGGCCGAATCCTTGATGTATGATTCCAACAAGAGGCTGTACATCTCGGAGTGGATGTTCTCAATAGCGATTTGGAAACCGTAAAATGCACGGGCCTCGGAGATTTGGACTTCCTTCATGAACCGAGCAGCGAGGTTTTCGAGAACAATACCGTCAGAAGCAGCGAAGAAGGCCAGTACATGAGTAATGAAGTGTTTCTCGTCATGGGTTAGGATTTCCCAGTGACGGAGATCTTGGGAGAGATCAACTTCTTCGGCAGTCCAGAAGGAGGCTTCGGCTTTCTTGTACATTTCCCATATTTGGGGATATTGAATTGGGAACATACAGAACCGATCTGGGCTCGGAGCGAGAATAGGCTCTTCGGGGATCGAAGGCATTGTCGACAAAAAGAAGTTTATAGAGGGGGGGAAAAAGAAGAAAGTACAGAAATGGAGTTTTTGACTTGGCGGGAAGAGGAGAAGTTGCAGACGAAGATTAACCGGGGAGGAGAAAGTATATAAGGTTGAGCAAATCAGAAACGCAGAGATTGAATGGTTTGTATGAATTTTTATAAGGAGAGGATGCCGGTTGGTTTGGTTAGGCTGAGCGGGGAATTCAAAATTTTTCAAAGAAAAAGCTTGCGGCGGAATCAACCGGCATCAGAGGGTGACTTGTTGAATTTAGGTAGAACGGCCTGACCTTGCACTCTTATGGAGGGTGTAACAGTCATTATACAGTGAAGTTTATTGTTTCTCGTTGTGTCAAATGACGAAATACCCTTATATTTCTAGCCAAAAATTAATAGCATATAAGCTCGAAGAAAGGGCTAAAGCGTCTTATTGGGGAGCTTGTCTTGGAAGAATTAGGAGCGGGGATTTGAAGATTTTTGAATTTGGAGGGGTGCGGACGCTTGTGTACGAGAGGGAAGCTCTAAACTGATTTTGGGACCGTTTCTTTTTATCTAGTTTTGAATTTCGGCGGGAGTCACCATTCGCGCCCCAAACGAGCGAAACAGACATGTCTCTGTTGTAAAGCGGCATAAATTTATTATAAAGCTAGTCGGCCGCGCCGGCCCACAAATTCCAAGCTGGAACTAGGTTTTGGATTCAGGCCCAATCTGCGCCCGGCACGCATCAGGAACACAAAATTTTTTTGCCTCGGCCTGGCCCATAATTTATATAAGCTACATATTATATATAATGCTGATATTTGATTTGTTTTATATTGCAGTCGGGGGAGAGGGTTTGATTGGTCAAATCTCTTCCCGTTTTTCCGGCATTGTAGATTTACTCATATCTATTGTATATATAGCAAGACAGTTCAGTCACCATGTCTCTCCTTGCTCTAAATCCTCCTTTCCAATTTTCTGTTTTTTTTATTTTTTATTTTTTTAATTTCATGTAATTATTAATTAAACTAAAAGGAAATCACATAGGCTTAACTATTCCTAACAATCATAAATAATGAGGAATTTGCTTTTCTAATGTTTAGCCAAGTGGCACCACTTTCCCCCTCTTTTTTCTAAATTGTCTCTAATTCCTATTTATCTCATAAATTATCTATAACTTCTATTTATCTCTTAAATTATCTCTAATTTAGTAGAGAGTTTCCCTCCTAAACTATCTCTAATTCCTATTTATCCTCTCCCCCACTTTTTATCTACATCTATCTAAAGAAAGTTACAATTAAAAAATTTCATAACTATTTAAATATTATAAAAAATTATATACTAACTATAAACTATTTATTCAAAACACAAAAATTAATTATAATAGATTTAATAATATTCATTTTATTAATAGTTCTATATTTTTACAAAATTCATCACTAAATTATGTAGTAACAATATAAATTATAATTTTACAATTTATTAAATTTAAATGTTATTCAAATAATAAAAATTTAACATTAAAAAATAAAATATTATTTAAATATTTCAATAACTAAATATCTTAAATAGCAAAGCATTAAAAATAGTTAAATAATTATATAACAAACTATTTAATATTACATCGTAGCATTAAAATAGATAAAATTTAAATAATAAAAAAATTTAAATATTTTACATAATATTTAAATATTTAAAATGACTAAGTTTTAAATAGTTAAAATAACGAAATTCTGTAATAAATTTTAAAAAATATTAAAAGTATAAAATAATCACAATAGATTTCATAATATTCATATTAATAAAAATTTAATATTTTACAAAATTAATGATGAATTATACTAATTATAATTTTATGGATTATTAAATTCAATAAATTATTAATATTTTAAATTTTAAATAACAATATTATTTAAATAATTAAATAATATTGTAAATAAGTAATTTCACTTATATCAGTAAATAATTATAGAAAATAACCTCCAAAAAAATAATATATATTATTAATAATTTTACAATAATAGTGTATATTCATTATATATTTATATATATACTAAAATTAATATTTATTTTATTTTCATTAATTATTTATTGTATCTTTCGATAAACATGTTTTCAATAATTATTTATAAATCTATTTTGTTTTTTTATTTAATAGTAAATTTCCAATAATTATTGGAGATTAAAACCTATTATTTAACTTTTTAAATTTAAGCTATCATATTTATTGTATTTTTTTGTAAATTTATTTGTAGTAATTATGCATTTTTATAATTTATTCATTAATACTTATTAGAGATTAAATATTATTTCATACTACACTATTTATTGAATAATTTAATATATTTTCAATATTTATGATATTTTTATTAGATATCTCTATTGCATTTTCATTATAAGTTTATTTTCAATAATTGTGTATTTTTTCTATAAATTTTCAATGATTATTGGAGACTAAAATATTGTTATTTATTAAATATTAGACTATTAATTTAGTTGAAATTAGGAGTGTTCATGGATTGGTTCAATTCGGTTGCAGGTTGAAATATGGGAATTTTTCCACTTTCCTATATTAAAATTTTATATTTAAAATATAAAATATTAATATATATCTATGGTCGAGTCAGTTCTATTTTGATCGGTTTAGAAATGACCAGAGTGAAACTAACCTAACTTGGTTATAATTGAAAATTTGCTAAACCAAAGCCAATCAAAAATACTATAAAACCGACCAACTTAAGTTGAGTTCAATTGGATAGGTTATTAAAAAGTTAAAATATGAAACAATTATATACTCCTATGTATTTCTATTATTTAACTTTCACTTAACAAAGACCATGCACCACACGAGTCCCCACTAATATATTACAAAATAACACATATAATCATACATAATATTTTATATTTACAAAAATCATAGCATGTATTTTATGCATGTATTATATATCATATACTATAAAATATTATAAATATTAAATCTAATGAATTTAAAGGCTTTGGACAAAGCCTGGCCCAACATAATCCAAGCCGAAGCTATAGCCCTTACCATAGGTACTACGCCCTGCCCAGATCATCTTTGATCACCCTAATCAAAGGACATGCAATGCATGGGCTTTGTTAAATGAGAGTGAAGTGAAAAGAATCCGGTGACATTCCCAATTGGTTTGAGTGGGTCTTAGTCCAATTAAATTAAATTTAAAATTTTAATTAATTTCTTTAAATGTACAAATACTAATTTTAAATTAATAAAAAATGTATTTATACTAACTCCAAAGCTTTAAAATCTTCAAATTTATTAGTTTTAATATTTAAAACTAATGTAGTAGTATTAATTAGATTTCTTTCATCAAGTCATTACTAATTTTTATTCAAATGTAACATGTGGTCCCATTTAAATTAAGAAGGGGCTTTTGTCGAGCTACTATGTACTCTCATGTGTGTTAAGTTTCTCTAGAATGGGGATTTTGATATGAAAGCAAGGTGTAAGGCTGGTTGACGTGTGGTGCTGGCCTATACTTGAAAGTCTAAAGGACTGGTTTGGTAGGGGTGTAAACGGATTGAATTCGAATATTTAATTCGATTCGAATTTGACTAATTAATTATTTTAGGTAATTAATAAATATATAAAATAAATATTTTATTTATATAAAATATATAAATCATTTAGTTAAATGTTTTATATATTATATATAAGAATTAAATAATCAATCAATTCTATATATTTATCAAATAAAATCAGGCCATATCCGAACTTGATCGATTAGATATTCAAATTATTTGATTTTAATTTAATTATATTGAATCTCAATTTCAAAATTTGATTTTTTGAATACCATTAACACCACTATAGTTTGGGTTACAAAACTAGAAAGGGGGGAGAAAAGGAAGTGGCTGGAGCCCCTATAGAGAGAAATTGGGGGATGGCTGGATATGAAGATGGGAAAATATTGATATGGATGAGAGGGAGGGAATGAGGAAATGGACTAGCATAAAGGTGATAAAGCACGAGTGTTTCTCCCACCCCTTGAAATGGATGAGAGGCATCTATTTATAGGTTAGGGATGCACATTCTAGAAGTTTCTTAAATTATGTTTTTCCTATTTTTGCCCTTCTACTCTAGAATGCAATCTTTACATATTTAAAACGTGTGATCATTTTCTTTATAAAACTATCGTGTTAATTGTTGTTTTCCATGTTTACCCTTTTATTATTTAAATCACATGTCTATTTCCATTCTTGAGTGTGCTTAGTTCAACCCATTTTTATCTTTATATTGTTCATTTATTATGCACATGCTTATTCTTATTCAATAATGCACTATTGGTTTCTAGAATTTCATCTGTTAGTTGTGTATATAGTAATTTTGTTATTGTGTTGGAATTTTCAGCACTAACGTTTAACTAGTAAAATGGGCTGAGCCGACTCAGGTTTGGTCCCGGTTGGCCAGATTTTATACTTATGTAACCACCCTCTTACACAAGGTTTGAAGTATCAATACATATCAAAATGTTACATAATGCATGTCAAATTTTTGAGTATGGATGATCATTTATGATTTGACTTGATCCAGCCCCAAACTGCACCAAGCCTCCACATAATGTGAGTTGGGCTTGGGCCAAGCAAACCCTAGTCTCAGATGGTCCATCTTGGCTTGGAAGTTATATAGGTATGGTATTTTTTTTTTTACTTTTTATATATGATATAATAGTTTACCAACTATTCATAGACATTAAAATCATTTTTTTTTGTAATGATAGTACAATATATATATATATATAGATGAAGGGGTCGTTGTTGTAAATGAAAGTTAAAGGGGGCAATTGATACTACCACAAAGTACATGGTAGTAATATGTAATTTATCCAAAAAAATAATTAAGAAAAGACTTATGTGATGTTTGACACGATTGTGGATCTCTAGAAAATTGGTGCCATGTTGGAGCCACATCAAAATCTCATGAATTGATGATGAAAACAGTGTTTCATTGGATGATTTTAGCGACTTCTCAAAAATCAATGAATAATCGATCCTTAAAATTGACCTTAGAAGAGGAATCACCATATTCGATGATTCCGCAATTTCTAGCAGATTCAAATTTCCAAGGGATGACGTGGCATCTGATGTGTCATGTGGAGATTTGGCTTATATGGCAGAAATGGTATCAAACAACAAAGCATGGTGATTTTCTGAAAAAAAAAACACTTTTTTGAAAAATTGGTGAGAGGAATTGACGGTGGTGCCAAACATCACCTAAAATAGTAAAATACTATGTGGATACCTACGCATTTCAACTTTTTTTCCATGGGTGGTTCACGGGATTGGTTTATGATTATACCAATTCCAAAATGCATAACATCTCCTAGTTAAAGAAACAACTTTTGATGTTTTCCGAATTGAGAAATTTAAAATCATTGTATTTTTGCCAATGTGGCCTGCATTTTCAATGTGGCTAGGTGCATACAATACGAAGAATCATTCTCAAAACACCAATATCTCTCTAATGACAACATAAGAATCATCACTAGTGAAACTCTAGCTCTTTTATTTGTTCTAGGGTGTGTTTGTTTTTTGTTTTTTTGGATTTTGAGAGGGGGTAAACTTGGTCAGTGGGATTTTGGTTTCCGTTAATAAAAAAAATTCGTGTTATTTTTTTCAGATTTATGTGGGGACCAGAGATAATTTATTTTTCCTGTGTATCACTTATTTCCACATGAGAGAAAGTTGTCAATACTTGAATTAGACAAAAATACAACTTTTAATAATATATTTTTATGGCTAAAGAGGTCATTATTTTATTTATCTAGGGAATAAAAGAACATTGGTAAATGTACTTACCTGGGGAAGTGTTTCACAGGAAATACTTACCCGGATAAATAACTTACTGAAAAGCAAACTAGGCCTTATTGTTCTACACACACTAAGTTCTTAATTCATTCCTCATGCTCGAGCTAGGTAATTAGTGGAAGAGGGTTTTCAGGAAACAACCTAGATTTCCTACTCAATTTTTATATCCACACTCTACCCGTCGTGAATTGCAACCACACATCTCATAATCCAATATGGCAATGTGTGGCTGAGATCCACAACCGGCAGAATGTGGGTAGAGAGTAGTGGGCACTGGGCAGGAAACCAAATGTGTGAGTCTCCCAAGTCCAGAAGTCATCATCATAATTCATAAAGAGATCTTTAACCATTTTATTTATTTTATTTATGACGTGTAATTTGGGCTTTGTATGTCCCCATAAATAGGGGTGGATACGAGCCAAGCTGAATATTTAGCTATTCGAGCTTGGCTCAGTGGAAAAATATCATGCTCAATATTGTATCGAGTTTGATTCGAGTTAGAAACATGATCTCGAATTTGTCTTGACTCAAAAGATTATATGTTCAATTTGGCTCGGCTCGAGCTCGATAATGAACCAAGCTTTATATAAAAAATAAAAAAATATAAATGTAAAAATCATACATATAAAAAAGAATGTATAATTATTTATTATTATATATAATTAAAAATATTATATAGTAATATGGTATAAGTTCAATTATGTTCATACGCCTATGAAGCCGAGTTTAATTAGACTCAAGTTCAACTCGATTAGGAAATGGCCTACACATTAGGCATGAGCTTATCTCCAAGCATAATTCGAATCAATCTTTTCAAGCTCAGTATGGAAAGAGTACAAATACAAATATATAAAGTGCAAAACCTTATATTTTGTATTATTTGTATGTATTTGAATTGTACATATTTGTATTCGTACTCCTTCCAAGCGGAGCTTTAGGAACTGAGCCCAAATAAATTGTTAAAAGCTCGATTCATATCCACCTCTACCCATAGACTAAGGGTGTCAATGGACCGGTTTTGGATTGGACCCTGTCTAATCCAAAATCAATTTGGACAGATTGGATAGATCAATAAGACACATTGGATTGGACCAATCTGGTCCAAAATATTTATTAGATTGGATTGGACCTCGTCCATCCATAACAAATTTATATTGGATTGGGTTGGATTAAGCCTATATCTGGTCCATTGATATAAGATAAGAACATATGTGTCAATGGACTGGGTTTGGGTTGAAACCAATCTATATCAAAATGAATTTGAACAGATTGGACGGTTCAGACATTGAATTGGATCGGTCCAAATTGGTCCAAAACATTCATTGGATTGAATTGGACCTGGTCCATTTATAATAGACTCACATTGGACTGGATCGGATTGGACCAAATCCAGTCCAATTGACACCCCTACCATAGACTCTATTTACATCTTAACATAAACTCTGTTGCTGGTGTCAAGTTTCTATGATGCCCAAATATACCGTTAATTACTCAAATTCTGCGTCTTAGCTAGGGGTGAGCATAATTCGGTTAAAACCGAATAATCGAACCGAAAATTCCGGTTTCAGTTTTTGGAATTAGAATTTTGATTAACCGATTTAACTGAACTTTTTTTTTTATTATTATTATATATAATATATTATATATTTATATATTAATATATAATATACTGAAATTATATTTCAGTATATATAATATATATAATAAAGTATATATTATTAAAATTCGGTTTTAACCACTGAAAACAAAAAATTTCGGCTTTTATTTTTTAGTTCAATTTATTCAATTCGATTTTTAATCGAATAAACCGAATGCTCGCTCACCCGTAGTCTTAGCCGTGAGGGAATTTGTAATTTGTATGAACAAATTTCTACGGTTCTACTCCTTATTCGAGAGAAGGTATATAAACCACTAGATGGGCTTCGAAGGGAAAATGTAACGTATTTGTACACTACAGAACAAATCATGAACAGTGACAAAGTTTAAATGGTACAGATAATTATATCCTTTGGAACCCAATCACACAACTCTTCTAAATTCCTAACCTCACATGAGATGTACATCAAGATTATTTCTCACATCATTCTCAGCGAGTGGCCTCCCATGCTTTAATTTTCACTTGGGCGTGAACGCCTACAATTAAAGGGACCACGAAGAAAAGATGAGTCAGTTCATGCATTAATAGAGGACTATGTACGTGTGTGTGTGAATGTGTATTTTACATTAATTAAATTAGACCAGAGTGTTACAGTAGTGCACCACTTACAGCAAAAATGGTAGCGTGGCCCGGGTCAGCCAGATGGGCGAAGAGGTTGTCGATAGGGCCTGTGCCGGTGTAGATGTGTTGAAACCATGCACCCATTACGGCCAACATGGCCAACCTTCCATTCTTTATTTCCTTGGTCCTCAACTCCTTGACCTTCTCAGGAGAACCAGATCCCCAGCCAAGTGGGTCAAACCAAAGTCCACCAGGATATCCAACATCGGTCCCTGTTAGCTTGTTGTTGGGAAAGATTGGATCGGTGTTGACGGAGCCGGGCTTGATGATATCGGCCCATCGTCTCCCCTCGGCCCAACCAATGAAGATAAGCTCAATTATGAACAGAGTGGTTGTATCCGTGAAATATTCCAGCTCTCCAGCGGAGTACCATGAAGGGGTGTTCAGGATTCCAATCTTTGTTAGGAATTCAGGGATGAAGATACCGGCCGCACCTAACATTGCCCATCTGCAGTGCACAAGCTCTGCTTGTTGGTTCCATCTCAGGCTCTCTGGATCAGATCCTGTTTATTTTGGAACAAGTTTGGAGTTTTAATTCTCCACCTTTTTTCTATTCGATGCAATTAAATGGGAAATAAAATAATGCTTTCAAAGACTTGTAGGGCTCTCAAAGTCCATGCGATTATAAACGGATTCACAATTTGAGATCCATACAACATTGTTTAGAACAAATTTGGATTGGATCTCATGGATCACGATCTGACCCATTGACAAGCTTTGTCCGGAATCAATATATGAACCCACTAATCCATTAGCCCTTTCTATATTGGGTCATATCCAATTATCTAGAAGGCCCAAAACATAGGACAGGGTATGAGGGTAATGAATATTGTTAGACAGAGACGATCAGTAGGGCTTCAATGTTTTATGCATAATTCTTTTGTAGACTAGAGAGACTCGAAACAAAGCACCAAGTTTGGAATCGGGGAATCAGCTTTAGATTTCGACTTACCAAGGCCAAGAGGGTCGAACCCAAAGTCTCCTGGAAGGCTGCATTCGGAGAATTCAAATACCAAGAATGAAAAATCTGATCAAACTATATCCTATATAGGAAAAAGAAAGCCATCAATTAGTGGATATCTCATAAAAGGAGTGCTACCGAACCTGCCATCAAGCCATGGAGGAGGGGTGCTGCCTGGGAACCACAGAGGCCGCTCGTTTGCGTCGGTAGCTGCTGCTGACACGGAAAGTGATCGTGGCCCTGCTGCTGTTGCTGTTGTAAACTTCTTCTGTCTCAGTTTTCTGCCTCCAAGGAAAGAAGCCTTTGTTGATCCCAACACAGATCCACTCTTCTGAGAACTGAACAAGGCATATTTTCAAACCAAATAAGTAGGTGCATAAATTTGGCTGCAATAAAAGCATTCAAACGCACCCACCCACCCACACACACAGAGATCGATGATCGATCAAGAGATAGAGAGAAGAGAGAGATGGATTTCGATTCTTTGTTACGTAGGGATGGTTTTCTGAGAAAAACATGCCTGGAAGAGGAAATGGCAACGGCGGCAACGGCAGAAGAAGCACAAACAGACGCCATTGTAGCGACTATCGACGTGGAGGTGTAGGTGTTGACGGCCAGATATCGGAGGAGTAAGTAAAAGACCTGTAAGAAGGGAGGGGGCTTATCTGGAGGGATAGAAGGATGAATATCTCATTGGTTCTTGCTTCGCCACGTGGCATACAGAATCTAAAATCTGTTACTTCACCTCCAGATTTTTGCTGACATGTCGTTAATCGGAAGCTGGTGGTTGATATTGCATCTGCTCGTGCCCACTCGTTGGAAGGGATCAAGGGTCTTCTGATTGTAATTGGTCCGTATTAGATATGGGTAGGGTCGTAGGGATGGCAATTTTCCCATCCCACCGGGTATACGGTCTGCCCGACCCGATGGGGATGGAAAATGTTTTGGGAGAAGCAGGGATCGGGATGGGAATTGGGGATTAATAAGGATCACGGGTTAGGGACAGGGACGAGGACGGGGATGGAGAGTATATGGATGCAAATTGATCTGATATTCGAATTCGATCTAGATCCAATGGATCTGATCCGATCGGATTTGATAGGACTCGATTTAAGTTTGAATCTATAAGTTGGATCTTTGGATATGATCCAATCCGACCTTTTTCTTTAAAAATAATAAATTATTAAAAGAAAAATAAAATATACTAATTTAAATAAAGTAAAAATAAAAAATATAAGTATTTGTTAATTATTTTCATCATATATATACATGTTTTTTATAAAAAATAAATAATATAATAAATTTATAAAAATATATTTATAAATAAATAACATAATATGTATTATATATTTAAGTTTATAAATATATAATATATATTGGATTGGATTGGATCTTCTTGGATTGAGGGGGAATTTGAAGATCTAAACAGGGGTGATCCGAATTCGACCAAATAGAAACGGATCTCGAATCGGATCATGATCCAATCCATTTGCACTCCTAATGGAGAGTGAAGTCCTCTGCCACCCTGATCTCGATTATATATATATATTAAATATGTTATATTTTATATAATATTATTTATATTATATATCAAAATATATTTAAAATATTTATTTATTTTAAGTAAATCTATCTTCCAAAAACACATTTAATTAAAAAAAATTGAGATTCAAATCTTCATGGAGAATCTATTTTCTTGAGAAATCAGGGATGGAAAGTAATTTTTATCCCTAGCAAGAAGCCAAGGATCATGGTCCGAGATGGGGAAAATGACCCTTGCTCCATTGCCATTTTATAGATATGTGGTTTGTTTGGGTTATGGTTGAGCTGCCCTCAAGTGCCATGTGTTACATCTGTGGCCGCCTTATCACTTCGGCCACATCGGCACCACGTTATTGGGTAAGCATGACCAAGACAGGAGAGGGTTGTACGGATAAGGATGACAGCTTTACTGGGGATTAAGTCTTATCTCGAAGGCGTCAACGGACAACCTCATCCCGACAACCTCAAAAGCCTCATCCGACCAGGACACAAATCTTCGGCTATAAAAAGGTAACTCCCGCTCAAGGTAAGCGATTTGACTTTTGACTTCCTAGCACCCGAACTGTTACTCTGCTCGAACCAGCACTGTTCTCTCAACTGTTCGGCCCGACCACCCACCATTCTTGACTAACTTAAGCGTCAGAATACCTACTCGGGGAATAACTCCTCAGGCCTTTGACTCTGTTCTAGCTACGCAGCTTCGTCCTTCCACCTCGGCTTTGCCTAGTTCGTATGATTATCTGACTATGACCTTGGTTCAAGAAACACCTCGGATTAAGCAACATCAGGGTTCTTGATTCCATTTATCAAGAATCCCTGAAAAAAGGGTTCCTTAAACAATGGACCTTGGGCTATACTTGTTGTTCGGGTCATGGCTGAGCTGGTCCTAAGAGACACGTGGATGCCCAGTCATCACTAGGCCACGTCGGCATGGCTCGGCCACGTGGGCGCAGCTCAGTCACGTCGACATAGCTCGGCTACATCGGCATAGGTCGGTCAAGCTACGCTACTATTGTGGGCCCCACCTTATCGTTTTCGCCACGTCAGCTACACGTCACACGGATGAGTACAACTGCGGATAAAAATGAGTAAAGAAGACAACTCCGCTGGGGAACGGGACCCTATCCAAAATACCTCGGCGGCTAACCTCATCCCGACAACCCTAGAAGCCTAATCCGACCAGGACATGGATCTTTCGCTATAAAAAGGTAATCCATGCCCAAGGTAAGGGACCCAGCTTCTAGTACCCACAATGTTACTTTGCTTAGACCAGCACCCTCATTGCTCAGCTCAACCATTCACCACCCTCTCACTAACTTGAGCATCGGAGTATTTACCCGGGGATAACTCCTCGGGCCTCTGATTTCTTCTCTTGATCGCAGATTAGATAGTGCAGCACCTTCCTGGTAAGCTCGGCACCTCCCAGTCAGCAAGGATTATCTGGTTGCTCTCCTCAGTTAGTGGACTACCTCAGATTGAGCAGCATCAGATTGGCGTTGTCTATGGGATCGCACAAAATGCCTTCCCGACAAAAAAATCCTTTGCCGCGCAGTTTCAAAATGCCTAAAAACCAGTCTGAACGATCAATAGGCCGTTCCCCATCTCGGGAGAACCGACATCACAGCTCCTCGCATCAAGAAGCCCCGCAGCTCTCGGCCGCAGCGGACCCAGTGCAGTTTCGAGCTATGCAAGAGAAGGTCGACAAGATCTTCAAGTTCATGCAGGCATTGGGGTTTGCCATGCCGCCCAACCGGGCCGTCCCCTCCCCCCCCACGCCTCGATGCGCATGAAGGACGATCCTTGGACTAAGGACCCCAAAGTACATCGGCTGGATATAAGGGGAGCGCGACCCGAGTGAGAGAGGTAGGACATGACCCAAAGGCCCGTCTCTTCTGCCTGCTCCCACGAACAGGATCACTACAGCCAGACGCAGCTCAGATCGCCGCCAAAGAGAGGCTCGAGAAGAGGACGCCACCCTTCATGGTTTCCGTTGTCGAGTCAAGCTCGGTAAAGGACCGCCCTGCGCGACCTAAGAAGGAGAAGGCCACCCACACTGTGGCCCCGGACGATAGAGACACTAAGATCAAAGAGCTCCGGTAGCGTTTAGAAGAACGAGAATGCACTCAGACCCACAAGAGCGTGACGCCTGCAGTGGACCAGCCATCGCAGGCTGCCGCGCATACCGCCAAGGAGCCGCCCTTCGTCCAGGACATCATGGGCGAGATGCTCCTCGCTAGATGGTGAGCCCCCCAATTCGACAAATACGATGAGAATACCGACCCTTTCGACCTTGTCGCGGCACTAAAAGCTCAGATGATGTTGCACGACGCGTTAGAAGGACTGATGTGCAAAACCCTTGTAGTCCACTCTACAAGGTCCAACTTTGGCGTAGTACTCTCTGCCGCTGTGCTCCATAACGTCATGGGATCAGCTGGAGACCCAATTTCTGGCGCAGCTCACCGCTAGCCAGAAGCATTGGAAAACTTTGGCCAGCCTCATGCAAATCCAACATAGGAAGGCAGATACCCTCAGAGATTACCTGGCAAGGTTCAACAAGGAGGCGCTCCAAGTCAGAGACTTTAACCGACCAGTCACAATTACGACCATACAGCATGGGCTCTACCCTTCATCGTTCAACTTCTCCATCTCCAAAATTCCTCCTCAGACGCCATCTGCGCTAATGAGCCACGCGCAGAAGTATATCAATGCTGGACAGGCTCAAGCGCAGCTCAGAGACGAAAATGAGAAGCCCGACAAGAAGAGGAAAGACACCAATGAGCGGAAGTCCGAGAGGTCAGATAAAGATCACAAGAGACAGGATCGCCGACCAGACCATAAACCTCGGACCCCTCCACCAACTTATCGGAAGTTCATGCCGCTCAATATTCCGTTGTTTGAAATTCTGATGCAAATCCGTAACCGCAACTACGTCAGGTGGCCCGAGAAGATGAAGACACAAAGTAACAAGATGAACCGAGACAATTACTACAAGTTCCACAAGGACCACGACCATGACACGGATAACTGTTTCGACCTGCGTAACCATATTGAAGATTTGATCAGGCATGGTTACCTCAGCGGCTTCATCGACAAAAGCGAGAAGCTATCCCAAGAAGAGCGGAAAATGGATGATTGATAACCACCGCCTCGAGGCCCCCCAGCCAGCGTTATCCACGTTATATCAGGAGGAACCGCTTCCTGAGGGGAGAGCAACTCGGGTTGGAAGAAATATGCTTGACTATGCGAGATCGACGACCGGGGTCAAAGAAAGAATTGCATCCAATCTATCACCTTCACCGACGACGCCTTGGTCATCACGGCCGAGAGGGCTACCTTTGAGTTGCGGCAGATCCTAGTCGACACAGGGAGTTCTGCCGACGTACTATTCAAAGATGCATTCGAAAAGCTCTACATTGGCAGAGAGCGGATCTTGTCGATGAACACTCCCTTGATGGGATTTTCAGGAGAGTCCCTCCTGCCCAATGGGAGAATAACTCTTCCCCTCTTGATCGGAGACGGTGACGACCATGGTAGACTTCATTGTGGTGCGCTGCTCCTCCTCTTATAATGTGATCCTCGGTAGGCGGACCATCAATGCTCTGTAGGCCGTAGTCTCGACATACCACCTCGCCATGGAATTTCCTACCAAGTACGGCATAGGGGTGGCACGTGGAGGCCAGAGAACAACGCGGCACTGCTATCGGCTCTCTCGTATAGGACTATGTCCAACCACCGAGACACTGATGGCGGAGGCCTATGACTTACACGACGAGGTAAAGGCACAATGCGGCCAACCCGTGGAAGATCTCATCCAGGTCCCCCTCTCTGAAGAAGATCCCAAAAAGATAGTCCAAGTCGGCTCCCTACTAGACGATCACCTCTGAGAAGAACTTGTGCAACTACTGAGGAACAACGCCGACGTATTTGCTTGGTTGGAAGTGGACATGCCTGGGATCGACCTTGAAGTTACCACACATCGGCTGAACGTTGACCCACGCTACCGACCTGTGAAGCAAAAAAAGAGGAGCTTCACCACAGAGCAATGGCAAGTGATCACCGATGAAGTACAAAAACTGCTCAACGCCAGCTT